GCTGTGCTGGTTTTTCTATATATTTTACGTAAATTACATATTCGTACACTTTGGATTGTACAATTTCATTCAAGGGTAAATGAAAAACAATTTAAACGTTTTCTGATTAGGTGTTTGTAAAGAAAGTATTGTGTTCAGGTTAGCATTAGTTATTTTTTGAATTTGTAATAAGACAAAAAGATAAATTAATTAGTTTTGGAAAAGCTTTTGCGATTTATAGTTATTACCGTAGCCAAGTGAACCCTACTACGTCACGGTTAGGTCTTGTGAAAATGCAGCGACTTTATATATTTTTTACCGCGTGCGCGTCGCATTTTAATAGCGAGCTACAATGTTCCCAAGTTCGATCGATCCTTGACTCGAGCACTTCTGAAAAAGTATTTCTTTCTTTTCTTCAAACTATAAAATATAGTTGTAGTTCTAGTCATGTTACGTTTTTTAAAATATTTACGAGCCGTTTTTTTTATTTTAGTCACAAGATCATACTCGAATAGCGGCGTAGAAGTTGGATCGCGGGTTCGATTCTCGAATTTAGCACTTCTGCATAATTTTATTTTCTTTCCTTCTTTCTTTCTTTTTAATTTTAAATAAACTTTTTTATTCTTTCTAAAATCTGAAGTGACCTTCAGTGCCATAAATTCTCAAAGTGATAATGCGAATGTAATCTGAATGTTGAATTTTCGCTGCAATGATAAAAATAATGATAAAAAGCCAGAGTTGTGTTAAATGCATTTTTAATGGCCCGTTTACGCGTTTTTTTTTTTTGTAGCGTGATATATAATAATCGCCACTTCGCTATCGCGCACCTAAAATAGTAAGTGTCGAAACAGCCCTGTGATTGTTGCGGCGATGGAAAATCACCGCGAAGTTGCAGCCAATTTTCAGTCATGTTCGAAACTCAGACGATGGTCGCGCTACGCGATCGCCCCGAGAACTTCAAAAATCGCAAGTAAGGCATTCCAAACTAAAATGGGTTTTTCCAAAATGACGATTTTCAATAGGTAAAAACACTATTTGTCGGACAAATACTCTGAATCAGACAGAAATGGTGATTTTTCATTGAATTTTAAACAAATCGGAGAAAAGCAAAGTTGCTTGCATTACTTTACTTCAAAATAAGTGAAACTCGTTCAAAAAAAGTTAATGTTTTTAAGAGATGCAGGAAGAATGGGCATTCCCATTAAATGTTCAATGCAGAAATTCTGCATCAATTGAGCTTTTGTGAGAAAGTTGAATTCTTAGTGTTTGGATGCAGAAATTCTGCATCGAGTCTTTGAATGACTCTTTGAATGCAGAAATTCTGCATCGAGTCTTTGAATGCAGAAATTATGCATCAAGCAAGAATATTCAAATAAACAAATATCAAATATTATATATCTTTAACCTCATTGTCCCATTTGAGAAAGCAATTTCGATTGAGCCGATTTTTTGGTACATTTTAGAAGTAATAATTTTGTACATGAGAAAAAGTTCTCACGATAGTCAATTCACACGGAAAAAACATCATTTGTACAATGCAGAATTTCTGCATTCATAAAATGGATTTCAGATAGTCAATTCACACGGAAAAAAACATCATTTGTACAATGCAGAATTTCTGCATTCATAAAATGGATTTCAGATAGTCAATTCACACGGAAAAAAACATCATTTGTACAATGCAGAATTTCTGCATTCATAAAATGGATTTCAGATAGTCAATTTACACGGAAAAAAACATCATTTGTGCAATGCAGAATTTCTGCATTCATAAAATGGATTTCAGATAGTCAATTTACACGGAAAAAAACATCATTTGTGCAATGCAGAATTTCTGCATTCATAAAATGGATTTCAGATAGTCAATTTACACGGAAAAAAACATCATTTGTGCAATGCAGAATTTCTGCATTCATAAAATGGATTTCAGATAGTCAATTTACACGGAAAAAAACATCATTTGTGCAATGCAGAATTTCTGCATTCATAAAATGGATTTCAGATAGTCAATTTACACGGAAAAAAACATCATTTGTGCAATGCAGAATTTCTGCATTCATAAAATGGATTTCAGATAGTCAATTTACACGGAAAAAAACATCATTTGTGCAATGCAGAATTTCTGCATTCATAAAATGGATTTCAGATAGTCAATTTACACGGAAAAAANCTCTTGACGTTACTGATTATGTTGCACTTTTATCTTTTTAATTTATTTTTTAAACAAACATTGTTAGGATATTTTTGCTCTCACTATGATTTCAATGTCATTAAAATATCTCAATATGCAGAAATTATGATCAATTTGAGTCATATTAATTCCAAGTATATAAAGAAAAGAAATAGAAGAAAAAAGGAAATATCGGTAATATATTTTTTAATAAGTTGCCTAGCACTATAAGCTCAGTCTCCAGCCGTCTGGATTTCGTGCGCCCGCGATACTCTCAGAGGGGAGAGAGTATCGCGGGCGCGCGAAATCCCGACGGCTGGAGACTGAGCCTACTAGCACTAGTACTTTCTGAAAAAAAAATATTGACAACTATATCCCACAAATTCTGATAAAGTTTTTTATATACTTGAAATATAAGCAAAAAAGATCACAATTTCTTCATATTACTTTATATTATAAATATAGGTGTTAAAGTCTACTGAGGAAAAAAAAGGAAAATCTATGTACAATTGTTCTTTTTGCCCTGATCCGAATAAAGAGTATTTATTTGTTTTTTTAATGTCATATTAATATATTCTTATTGTTTTGTCTTTCGCAACCTAACGGTACCTTTTGTTTTGCTTGTTTATTTTCTTTCTTTTTCTTTTTTCTTTTTTTTGTTTTTTTGTTCACGCATCAGTCACGTGGCTTGGATCCAACATGGCGTCTTGTCGGAATCTCCTGAAACTCAGCGTTGTTTACACCATTTTAATGTTTTCTTATGTGCTGAATGCTAGAATGATATATGAATTCTGCAAAACCCTGGATAAATGCAMAGCATCAACAGACAAGGGGGTGATTAATTTGTGGCCTCTGGTAAATGCTAACAAACCTGCAGTGCCTAGGTTCGTCGCGTCGTATTAAGCTTATATACTTATTGAGCTTTAATTTTAAGACTGCCCCTCACATCTTACTTGGATTGCTAAGATAAGACTGACAAAAGTGTTTAATTGTGCTCTTGTCTTTTCTTCTGTGTAGGTTTAAGAACATCAAGGATAAGTCGAAGTCTTACTTGTCATATTCCTGGAACCCTTGCAATCCATGGGTGCTACAGACTAAAATAAACGACACTGGTTTCAATTCGTGTCTACAAAACACTTCAGTAAGGTTAAATTAGTATCGCTGAGAGATTACCAGCATAATATACCTGCATATACAGTATAATCAAATATATGAACATAATGGAGTCACATTGGATTAAAAATAATGCAACTATCAATATTGTCCCGGGGGGGAGGGGGGAAGACTCCCTAATATAAAAGGGTGGGGGTCCTCGGCGGAGATTGTGAAAATGACCCCTAAAAGGGACCTCTATTGTGAGATGATGGGYGTGGCAGTGCTGAAATTTCAACCCCAAAAGGGACCAATCAATAACAGGTCATTTTGTTTTGGTTTACCGATTTTATTTGTGTTTTTACACAATCATCGAACACCGTCGGCTCGTATTGAGTTTATGACGACGTTGCCATTTTATGACTGCTTAGGGTCGCCGTATACCTTAAAAGGGACCACAAAACACAATTGGTAGCAATTCTTGTCATGATCACCCTAAGCGGGACCAAAATACTGATTTCAAACCCTAAAAGGGACGCAGAGGATCCCYGCCCTTTGATATTAGAGAGTCCCCCCCCCGGGATATTGTCATGCCCCAGCTGCATTTTTTTTTGTCAGCAGTCCCATTTTGGGGGTATGTATATGTCAATATTTTTGAATGCCCCATTGTTATTATTGTAGCAGTAGTTTCAGTTTATCTGAAAATTTTCTGGAGATTCTACATTTGTGCGTCACTGTGTGCGTCACCTGTGTACCTGCACTCTCCACATTGGGCAAGACACTGATAAGTGCACAATGGAAATGTCATTCCCTGCAAACCTGCATGTGTTAGCTAGAGTTAAAAAAAGGAATTTTAATTCCAACTCTAGTGAATAATAAATGTAATTTATGTTTTTAGATTTGTATGACAAGATCCCAAGAATCTATTACTTACCATGCTGACATAGGAAAYGCTTCCACTGCAAGATTTGTTTTAGATAAAACCAGCAGCAAATGCAAACTTGTTTATGATGGAAATGATKTTTTTGTGCCCAGGTAAGTAACTAATGATATTATATACAAATTTCTGGAACATTGCAATTATATGGTCTGAAATTTGTTTATTGACTTGATAGAAAGTAATTTATAGAATAGAATTAAATGAATTGCAGAAAAACATATTATATATCTTTCACATTATGTGAAAATAACATCCCATTGATATGCAATGTGAACAGAAGTCATTTTGTACAGCAAAGCATGATGGTAGTCCCCACACTTATTATAGACTCTAAAATACATGAAGTGGTCCTTGAAGGCCCTTTTCATACCTTCTTTGTCACTGTGCATTGCATATTGAACACTCAAAGATAAAATCTATATCTCCATGCACCCATGTAATATCCTCTATATCCCTGATAGGCCCCTGAGGTATCATTTGCATATCATAGGAAACAGTAAGGAAGTCATTATTACAGATTACAGAATTTTTAAATTCTAAAAGTACATTATAAAGGGAATCAGGGGGGTGGATAAGGGCACATATTTCCTGGGTGATTTTTTAGGGTAACAAATAAGAAGAGAAGGAACACCATATCAAACAATTGCTAACATTCGCGCGGGCTACCTGTGTCTTTTCTGGGATTCCTTATTTTCAAGGATGGGAGGGGACTAGGACAAAATTATAATGGCCGACATGTTGAAAAGCGATCTCTCTGCAAATTCTGTAAGTTTTAGCCATTTTAAAGCACTAAAAGGTGGAAAACCTTGAAAAAACTTTCTATCGTACTTCCTTATAAGGTAAGATTACCATATATAGTCAGCAAAAGTTTGGCAAACGAATGAATGTTTCTCTGAGGCAATTGTTTGATATGATCAATATTGATTTTCCTTGCAGCGATTTTATCACTGGAACTGACTAATTTAACAATATTTATTGTGCAATCTCTTAGGGGTTACAAATCAGGCAGTCACGCCCTTTTCAAGACTTCTAGGATCTTTCAGGGGCCTTCCCCCCTTTTCTCTGCAAAGATGMCAACAAAATTAAAGACACTATATTCATTGATTATTTTAATATTTTGATATTTGTTTGGAATTTTTAGTCTTGTCCAGATTGAATTAATTTGCAGTACTGATGAAGGCAGGCTTGAGGAATTTACCAGTACTGATGGAGTAACAAATCATGACTTGAATGAATATGTGAGTTAATTACATTTCTTTTCAATAATTATACACCTTACTCCAATATCATTCTTCGAGRGAAATACAATAGGAAAAAAAAGAAGTGAAGAATATATCACTAATTGATTTTTGTATATTCCTTAATATAGCAGTCAAGGCTCCATTCTAAGTACGCTTGTCCAATGGGCAGCTAGAACTTAAGTGCTGGAAGTGCACTCTGTWTCATGTGAGTAAAGACATCTGGAGGGGGGGGGGACTCCCTTATAAAAGTTCGTAGGCATGCCCGGCGGGCCTTTTATGGTCGAAAATAAAACCCTTGTGTACCTTTTATGAGCTGACTCCATACCTTTTAGGGTCAATTTTAGAACATAGAAGAAAAAAATTAAAGAATTATTGTTATAAAGAAATAGATTTTGTTAACTTCAACAATCTTTTGACACCGCGTTTTCTCTATTAAAAAAGGATAAAATKTACAAAATGTAACAAAGGTGATGAAAAAGAATGAGAATAGAAGCAAAACGACAATGAAAATCTCGATCAAAAGAGATACAAACAGGCTGAGAGCAAAATGTTTAAGATTAAGCCAATTGACTAGAAAGCCAGTATGTTCTTGTAACTAGAGTCCAAATAAACAAAGGATTTCTCATTAGTATCTATCGTTCATTCCTTCAACATGGCAGCCGGTCTTTTATGTTTTGAATCTAGTGGGAATGGTTGAAACGATCAATGAGCTCTCATGGTCGGAGAGAACGGCGGATTGTAATGTTGAACGAAAATCTATTCAATATCYTAGTAACTTTGGATTTGACCTTTATTCAGCAAATAAGTTAACAAGAAAAATCTCTTTTCTTTTATSCCGTCACATTTTAACACAGTCTCCCAGCAATCGCCGGTCCCATCCACTACTGGGTCTTTTGTGTTGCTATAAAATGGCACTGGGATTTTAACAAGTAGTGATGCATAACCYGAGGCCTTACCAAAAGCTTTAATTCTAAATTTAGACTAATATCATTTAAAGTTTATTTCGTCTTGATCTTTGTCACCTGTTGCCTGTCCAAACACTTATGTATACGATTAGCCATTTTTGATAGGAGAAGGAGGGGGACGAATTTTYTTGCAATTTGAAAGAAGCCCTTGCTTTTGTGTCTGGCTGAAYATAACATATCTTCCGACCTTATTCAAAATCCGAAGAAACAGGTGAAATAGCTTGCCATCACATTGGGTTTCCTTGGATTTAAAGCATTGGATTATTCTCTTTTCCACTTCTTCAGCCATACAAGCATTGTGCTTGAATCGACGAAGCATGTTCGTTGCAGTTTCTTTRGCACAATAATGGTTGACTTCAATGTCACACTCTTTAGGTGCAATATGTTCTATATAAACACAGAAAAAAAATATCATAAATCCCARATTTTTAAAAGGCGTCAAAACGTGATGATAGCCTGTTAACAGTCACACCACTTCTTGTGCCGTGCTTTTTATTCTCATGATATTTTGACTTCATTTGTGTTACAACAAGAGAAAATGAGGTAAGAGAAGGAATCCCTGTTACCCATCATATCAGCCCTTCGTTCTATTTTTTAGAAAAAGAGCTATTTTTAGTTTGTTACCAAGCCCGCGCGACCACTACTCGTTTATCGGAATTTGATATCGGCTATTTTTCATCGCCAAAAACTGAATGTAAATTCTGTTCTTCTTCTTCTTCTTCTTCTTCTTCTTCTTCTTCTTCTTCTTCTACGACTTCACTCGAAGACACATCACTCGACGAAAGCACATCACTTTCACATGATTCATTGGTGTCTTCAACTTCAGACGTATCAGTAGTATCTTCGTGACCCTGCCCGACACTTTCACCATTTATAAACCAAAACCACTGCTTTCTCCTTCTTCCTCTGCAATTACCGCTTAATATCAAATCGTTTTCGTTCACAAAAGTAGTCTCTCTCTCGACCTCCATTTTGAATTATTTTCTCGCGTCTTACCACAAACGGCTGAGCGACCTCGCCTCATACGATCTGACCAATCATGTTCCATTTCTAAAAATAGCTCTTTTTCTAAAAATAGAACGAAGGGCTGATATGATGGGTTAAGAACGCAGTACCAGGGATTCCTTCTCTTACCTCATTTTCTCTTGGTTACAATGATAAAAAAATTCAAGATGGCTGCCAACATGAAAGAATTCTGTATCAATGTTTCGACAATTCATACCATGCATACCATGATTAGTGTGGCTAGAACATAGTAGACTTACCAAGATTTGTCAATTTTAAGTCTGTCCTGTTTTCTTTAGATATGTGAGCTAAGAGAAATATTACCGCATTAAATGAGTGTTAATATGTCCAACATAATAATGTTCATATAGACAAATGTTTGCATCTGGTGCTTTGAAGRGCAACGTCTACGAAAACGCYCAATTTTATTGAAACTCTTTAGAATTTCAAACATGTGTCTTATGTATACATAAAAGCCGATTTACACTGTACGATTGTCGCGTGCGACTTAGTAGTATACGAYTCAAATAWGCTCCATATCGCGCGTGTAAATGAGCCTAAGAATTTTCCACAACAGTCGTACGCAACCTACGGCTTGCATTAGGATTTTTTAACTCACGGCTCAAAATCGTACGACTTGTCGTTGGAAAATCGTATACTACAAATCGTACGCGACAATCGTACCGTGTAAATTGTCCTTAAAAGAAACTTTGCAGTAAAAATTTGTTATTCATCCACCCTTGACATATAATTGGATTTAAAAGAGCGATGCCAAAATATTTGAGAATCCTTATTAGAGTTTAAAAAAAGTATTAAAATCATGTTGCCCAATGATTAGTAAAGCTAGATAGGTTTATCAAAAACTGTTTTGATATACACCTACTTGCGAAAACGTTGTCATAAAAAAATAGGACATTTGTATTTTAGTAAAAAGGAATAAATTAAAAAGACAAAAGAAGATCACTGAGGCTGAACGCTTTCTTTTGTCTTGTTTTAATTTATTCCTTTTTACTAAATTCGAATGTTCTATTTTCTATGACAACGTTTCTGCAAGTAGGTGTATTTACAGCTTTAAAAAAACCGCTTGTTTTCACATGTGCCGAGTTCTGTGTTTGCTTCAATGAATATTTTGATTTTGCTTCTTTTCATCACATTGACACTGAATAGTCCATTCCCATAATGCACTTTCCTGTGAGATGTATTGTTGGATACCCCTTCACGAAAGCACAAAATAAATTCATAGGTATCGGTCGTTTTATTTGCTGTTCTSATGAAACTTATAATTGCCCTAGTTCATTATGACGTCACATCAAAACATTCTATTGTTTTAACGCTAAGGATTATGGTCGCCAGAAGGGATCAGAGTGATTGCATATCAAATAAAATGTACCTTAGAAATTATTTATACATGATATACATCAAAACACGATTCATTTAAGTTCTACTTTAGGAGACAATATAAATGGGTCCAAATTTCCACTGTTTTTGAGCATCGTTTTCCGATGTAAACATACTGTGGCGTCATAATGAAATAGGGCAATAGCCGACTTGCGAATTACGCATCAATAGTCACATACAAAGGAATCAAGACGAGGCGCCGTGCTTTTTTGTGAAAAATCTATTGTCTTTAGCACGGCGCCTCGTCTTGATTCCTTTGTATGTGACTATTGATGCGTAATTCGCAAGTCGGCTATTGAAATGAAACTTATTGTCAATCGTACTACCATTTTTTTGTTTGTTTGAGATAATTTCCTTTCACATCCTCTATAAACTACATTTTTAGCATTAGATGCGTAGTGATAGAGTTAAAAACTTTATTC